ACCGGCTGGGGTGACACGGGCCGGCACAGAGCTGCCGGAGCCCCGGCCGGGCTGCCGACAGCCGGATCACCCCCCCCCCCCTCCCCCCTCCCCCGAACCACCCGGCTATACCCGACCCGACCGCCGGCCATTGGACTAAGTGGACTTATACATGGAGTGATGCCTGCGCCGGCGGCCCGCCCGCTAAGCAGTCTCCATCACCGCCTCGCGGGTAAATATCCTGACGGCCCACTGTCGTAGATCCGTCAAAACCCGGTGTGCTCTAATGCGCTTAGCTTCAGCCCGGTCCTGGTCCGCCGCCGCGCCGAGCTGGCGGCGACGCTGGCGCCACCGGTTGAACAGCGGCGAACCCCTGAAACACTGTCACATTGGCCGCAGACGGAGCGGCGACAAAAACGACGCGGTGGAGTCGTATCTGGTCGGCCGGCTGGCGGCTCTCTTCAGGCGGCTTAGCGGCAACAAAAGTCATCCGTCGAGACGCGACGCAACATGACGGCCGGACAAATATCTCTGTATATTTGAATAATGAGCATGTCCGCGACGCGCCCGACCAAGATTACACGCGCTTAGTATTTTTCGGCTGTCGTTTCGCCAGTGTTTGGCGCTTGTCTCGTGGTGCATCGGCAGATGGCGGCGACTGATGCCGCTACGCTCGTAACTCGATACCGGGCACGTGCTTCAGAGGTGCGACAGAGCCGGCCGGCCGGCCGCGGTGGTGCGGCAGTGCGCGTAACAGTTAGGTGCGCGACGCTGACGGTTTTTGAGACGTGCTCGGGCGACGCGGCAGGTCCACAGATACGAGTTTGAGATGTGATACGTGCAACTGTGATGGTTGCGGAGATAGCAGAAGATCTGACCTCAGACGCGATTACGATGCGAAGATAACTCGCAGTGCAGCTCAAGAGCATTTTGCCCAGCAAAACCGCCATCAGAAGTAAGTTTATGCCCATGGACGAATAGAGCAAGGTTCTCAAAGCAGGCCAACGGCCAATATGAATTTCAAATTCAGCCATTTCAAGAAACATGCAGTTTCAGAGTACAACAATAATAGGGTCAATATGTAGATCAGTCGTATTTCGAGCTCAGATCGCTGAGCACTTAAGTTACGTCAGTCCGTTATTATATCATAATATTACGAAACAACAACAATCCTCCGTTTTTATGAGCCCCATCGAGTCCTCCGAGTTCAACGCTCCCTATTACGTGGACCTGTTGCCGTCTCCGTGTCCCTCCGGTCCGGATCCTGTGCGGTCTCTATCGTCGCGGCGGCGTTCCGTGCTGGTCGGTATCGTATCAGAGCGCGGCCGCCGCGCGTCTCGCCGCCTAATGAAGCCGCTATCACACCACCATCGCCGCGTCCGCGCCGAGCGGACAGGCCCGATAAAATGCGCGTGCTCACTGCCGACCGGCGGGACGTCATATTTCTCATAATTTGCCTTATTAGATACATCAAAGAGACGACCGATGGTCAGGCGCGATGTTTCAAATCGCGCCGAAGGCTGTGATTGGGTCTGCATAGGAGGGAAAGAGACCGGATCGGGATTAGCATCCAAAAGCGAAACTCGATGCTGAGCTGAAGCAGCATTGCACTCGTTGTCTGTCATCCCGCATGAAGGGAGAAGTGGTGAATGTGATTTTTCAAGTAAGGCAGTAAGGCAGAAGTGAGGCTCTTTGAAGTTCTGATTCTCTCTAGAGACAGACTGAACCTGGCTGACTGAAAAGTGGGATATCGTTTGAGTTTTCAACACTTCCAAGCCTGCCATGTTCTTGGTCTCCAGATGCAGCGCATGTCTGTAAAGTGATACATCAATCGGGTTTTCTTTAGACAGATGAGGCAGATTCAATGCCAGGATGGCGTAGGTAATGTGCCAATTTAGGCTTAAGCTCCGGTGACAGTCACGTAAGAAGTACATATTTCAGAACTTGCAGCATGTTGGCATTTTGACTACCTTGATGACTGTTTAGCTTCGCGATACATCGACCCTTAACACCGCAACGCAACAAAACGAACACCATATTTTTCAGTTTTGGCTGAGCTGCGAATGTTCTCTGTTATCTGACTAAGATAGCTCATCTAACCCAGTTCACCTAATCAATCAGCCTTGACCTTTCGAACCCGAGCCAGCCGGGCACTGAAATCAATACGGTCTGTGTGAACTAGCCATTGAAACACACCAGAGAGTGCCGGGATTGTGATGACTTAGAAACAAATTTCACTTCATAAAGACTAAAGGCAGAATAAAGCAGCTGCGAGCATAGGTATCCGGCGTTGTTTACGATGCATGAATGTGAGGCATGGCGGTTTTCAAGAGGAGACTGCAACGCTGGCGCGCGGTCTAACGTACATAGATGTCTTGCGGCACAGCCTACCTACCAGTGGCGAAAATCGATGCTTCAGAAGCATAGGTATCCCGAAAGCACGTCAGAACTGCTATATGTCATGCATCTACAGCGAATAAATAAAAAGTATATTATCGGACTGATGGCAAATATTGTTTCTTATATTTGAGCAACCCTTTCTGCATTGCACATTCACAAGCAACTCTATGGAAGTACATTAAAACCCGCGCCGGGCCGGGGGGTGTTTGAACACCCCCTTGCGGTTTTTTCGCAGATATCTCAAAAACGGCGGCGCGGAGCGCCGCCGTTTTTGGCACACCTATTCGTGCATCTTTTCTGCACATGTTGTGAAAATTTCAGACCCAGGTCACCTTAGGTCAGGTCACCAGGTCACGCCAAGTGACCTCACCTCAGAAAAAATAAGAATGCTCGTCATAGCTACACCGACTGAACGATTGCCTTGAAACTTTCAGCGATTGATTAGAGCAACACTATCTATAAAATTTATATCTCGGAATTTTGATATCGGTGACCTAAGGTCAGGTCAATTTTGCGGCCTCTCCATTATAAGTCAATGGGAGAAAGTTGAAAAAACGCCTGTTTTGCACGAACGCTATTCTAGACACTCTCAAACATCGAGATGTAGGTAAATTAGAAACACTGAACCAGAAAATGGCAACTGTGACCCCTCGTTATGTCCCCGAGGTCATCTCAGGTCACGAACAGAATCTAACTGTTTTTCGATGATAACTTCTGATAGAGGCGTGCTAGAGCGCTGAAAACGCCTTAGATGTGTTCGGCTCGACGTTGCAGATCGACTGATATGCAACATGACCTTTTCCGGTCGGGTCATGACCTTGACCTGAGGTCAAATTTTCAAGTTTACCTTTCAAGGTCAAATTATAGTTCATTCGACGCGTCTCGACGAGAGGAACACGATGCTGGCAAAAGTAATGTCATAGCTCTTTCGAGTCAAAAGTTGTTGCCGAAAAAACGTTTTTTGTAAAAACGGCTATTTTTGGAGTTTTTGCCCTCTGGAGGCTAAACCGTTGGCCTGAGGTCAAATCTGAGAACATTATTCAGAAAGGTCTGTAAAAGGGCTATCGAATGCGCTTTATGCGGCGCTGTAGCTCTATCGGTTCCCGAGATAGCCGTTGGCAGTTTCCAAAATGTTGAAATAGTCAACATTTTACCTTTGGTGACCTCTGGTGACCTGACCTTTGACCTGACCCAAAAAATGACCGAAGTGTTTTCGTCCTTATTTTTGACGTTCTTTCGATTGCCGCTTACCGCGTGTCGCTACGTGGCCCAGGAGCCGATTTAGAAGGGGGGGGTGTTCAAACACCCCCCCCCCCCGCGGCCCGGCGCGGAATTTCAGAGCACCGGCCGGCGCGGGTTAACATTAATACAAATCGAAACTGCATAAAGCTAACGCTCAATGTAAAATTGGCCAGCAATTTTGCATCACTGTTGCCAGCTGTCATCTACCTCGGGGCTGAGGTCATGACCCCAATGCTAATCTATGACCTCTGAGCCGGCGTGCCCCGCGTAAGTGGTCGTGTCTGTCGTCCCCCCCCCCCCGACCCCGCGGTGCCCACGTCTGTCGGTCGTCACCTGTAACGTCCGACACTTGATCTGACTGCGTGCCGCCTCGCCGGTCTGGTCGGGATGATCGGACCTAGAGATACTGCCGCCACACACTGAGAGCCTCAGGCAGCTCTCATAAAACTAAACTAATTATAATTCGGTGGACTTGATGTAAATGATGTATAATGTGTAGCTTGAGTTATAAGTATGTTTATTGCATGTGTTGGTATGGATTCGTAGTGTATAACTCTCCTGTATGTTGTTGTCTCAGTAAGGTAAATCCTCTGTTTTGAGTGGATTATAATTTATGAAACATCCCGTGATAAACACCTTACATGCACTTATCAGAGGACTGAGACACCCGTCCGAAACACGACTGAAACATCCATCAGTCATGTCTAGATATGTCATGAGGACAGACAGGAATGGGGAAGACAAGCACCTATACAATCAGAAAACGCCAACAGTCAGCAAAGGCTTAAATCAGTTCGCAGAAATTGGAGGCGGGGAATGGCAAATAACAAGAAAGCTCATTAAAATGTCAGTTTATTCACTCATGTAGGTCTTTACACAAAAGCCCGGTCTTTGTAGGATTAGGTGACATTTTCATGGTTACTTTAAACCCAGCCCATACGATTTCTGCCAGGAGCCAGCCGGCTCAAGTGAGGCTTATTGAGCCAGCCTTAATCTCGATGTCACGAACTACATGGACACGTGTATTCTAGTCCCATCGCAAGTCTCATAATGCATCATGCATACAACCAGTGCCGTATCTGGCGACCCAACATCATTGGTCATTAAATATCCAGGATGTGTATATTGTCGTCGGGCTATGCAGAATGAATAGATAGGACTTGACCAGCGACCAATGAAGGGTCACTGGACAGACCAGGACATTTCTCGAAAGGCGAAAACATCCTTTCTCACCAAAGGGTGAGAAATGCCCAGTGAAGGGCTAGTCTTCAGCCATATTGTATTGCTATCCCATATGCTTTTGTCCACCTGATCCAACCCAACCTGACCTGACCTGACCTGACCCGACCTGACCTGACCGGTGTGTGTCTCTGTTCCAGGGAGCCGAGGTCGCCTCCCCAGCCGGCTCGACTCCCATGCCACACAAGGGTGAGAAATGACGAACGCTACCCCAAAGCCGCGGCCACTCCGGATCACCCGTTCGGCGAAGCCCACAGCGGGAAACGTTCCCCAAAGTGGCTCTCTTACGACGACTTAGCCGGACTAAGAGCATTTGCTGATAACGTTACATTGCATGTCTGACTCCAACTGTGTGAGGACGATGAATTATGTCTCGTTAATGCATACTTGCGGGGAATTAAGTGTCGCTGTTGCGGTCCATGGCTGGGAGGTGTCCAGTTAGAAGTGCGGGCAATTTGGAGTTGTTGAAGCAGAAGAAGGCGGGAAAGGATGCGTTGGACATATTCGCTGGTAACTGTCTCGGCTACCCGTAAAAATAATATCAACCGAGCACTTGTAAAGCGATTATTACGTTTGCAATCCATTGCTAACGGCCAACGGGTATCTAGGAATTGGCCAATTATGTACTGTCACGTGCATGACGTGAGCTCGCCCCACCTTATCGTTTTTTACACCAATGTTCAGCTAGTAAGCAGACAGGGTAATGATCCTTGATACGTGCCTCAGCTTTCACCATCTATGTATAGTGTATACTCCACCCACCTCCCTTCCCCTCCCCCTTGACTGACGATCCCTCCCCTTCTCTTTGTGCCCGGCAGAGGAGCCGGGCCTGACCACTGTGTCCCGTGTCATGTCAGGTCACAGCGGGGTCAACCAGCTGGGGGGCGTCTATGTCAACGGCCGCCCCCTGCCCGACTCGACCCGACAGAAGATCGTCGAGCTCGCACACTCCGGTGCCCGGCCCTGTGACATTTCACGCATCCTCCAGGTCTCCAATGGCTGTGTCTCGAAAATTCTCGGCAGGTAAGACTTACTTTCAGTCGAGGCGTGCGTAAATTCCTAATGAACGAGCATGTATGATCCTTGCTGCAGTTCTTCATTCACTTTAAATATAAAAAAGGTTTGTGAATGGTAAAACAAGTAGCAGCGTATTTAATACAAAAGGCGCAAAAACAACTTACAGTGTATAAACTATGTCAACAGAAAAAAGATGAAAACTTACACCGCGTGCGAACATAAAGGAATTTTTCAAAATGAAATAAAATGGTTTCTGCCACTTTTTATGGTGTACAGCAGCACATTCGTCATTCAAATCATAACGAGCAGATCCGTTCTGCTCCCTGCGATCACGATTCGCCACAAAACACCGTCCGATTCGTCGCGACTTTCTTTTGTGCACGTGCGTCTGCCTGGCGTCAGTCGCCTTTGACCTCTGTCAGCACCTGGTGTCCAGCTGGGACCGATTCGACTGCCGCGCTCACAATTTTCCGCAGAGCGCGTTTCTTGTTAGCGCCGACGCTCGCTAATGAGGCTCCTTCCGAGGCTGCGCGCGGCCCTCGGGAACAAACTCCGTCTCCTTCCCAGCGCCACGGCCGTCACTATTGACGCGAGGCGGTGAGCGCCGGTGTCCTCCCGGGAGGTCAGGCAGAGCAGTGGGTCGGACAGGGACCGAACGGAGACGGAAGGGGCGACAGGGGCGGTAGGGGGGCGGTAGGGGTTCGGCCGGCGCCGAGCCAGGGTGCCTGTGGGGTTGTATGGGCGCCTCCCAGGGGGCGACAGCGCGAGGAGCTCTGAATCAGCCCCCGCGGTGCCGACAGCGAGAACAGGAGCTCCGAACCCGCACCGAGGCGGCCTCCCGCGGACTAATTGCAGATTCGCTTTCAATGATTATAACTGGCCGGTGGGCAAGGCTGGGAGCGCGACCACGGCCCGTCGAGAGGCGCTGATCGCGACAGCTGGGGTCACCGAACCACCACTTATCGGTGGCACCTGCCGGCCACCCGCGGATACGCTCCCTCCGCGACATCTCAGCTGCTCTGCACGACACGTCCTTCAGACCTCGAGGGCATAGTGATACGCTCTCGAAAAACGGCAGGAGTTCTGGGTGGCAATGATCGGCACTTCAAACCCGAGCGGTGACTGATTTGAAGTTATGACATGCAAAGGGCATTTTCTTTGTTGAAGAAGCCAAGCTGTCGGAAGGGATAGAAATGGTGATAACTTTCGTGACAAACCATGAAATGAAATCCTATCTATTCTCTGTTTGTCTCAAATATAAATGAAATATCTAAGCCAAAAGTAGACCATCTCATTGTCTTGCTTGCAGCTTTTTTCATATATAAAGATCATGGAGAAATTGGTTTTCCAGGCCTTCATCAAAGGTAATAAGAACATCGGAAATGATACCGTTAAATAGGTACGATATTTAAGCGCTGAATATGATTTACAAATTGTCCGGCAAACATGCCGAATATGGAGCACTGCCGGCTTGAATACGCTGTTAAGAACCACTGCATGCGAAACAAGATGCTTAGACTTTTGCTAATAGGGAACAAATTTCATATTTTGTGCCGCTAATCACTGCTCTTTTAATCCCAAGACGAAAAAATAGCTTGTATCACTGAGAAAAACTTGGCGCAGCAAAAGCAGACAATTCAATCAGGAGTAATCGGCCCCATTTGCAGCAACCCTCTGCAAATCTGTAGCAAGCTAATAACAGGTTTGCACCCAGACTCTAGCAAACGATCGGAACATCATCTTTAAGACCACAAGAGAGCCCCAATCTGCTCAGAACGATCAATTGCGGTTAGCCTTGCCCACAAACCTCCCACCTTGTCATCGTTGGTACAAATTCCTTCATCTGGTAGCCGAGTGCCAGCATTCAGGAAGGTACCAGTCGGCATTGTTTATTGTTTACCTGTGGGATCTTCTTCCTGTGACCTTGAGGCTCCGGGGTCTTTGTGCCTCATCCGACCCTCATTCAAGGCCCTGCGCATTCAGAGCTCCAGGAATGCACACGCATTCGCCGAGTCTGAACAGCCGCACACCGTGACCAAATCGACGAGATGCTTGTGCTGATGGTACGGCATATCACGGGTCTCTCAGAGGGGAGGCTTCTGCCATGTCTCAAGCGAGAGCCACCCTTCTCCCGTTTCGAAGCGTAGAGGGATGAGGAGAGAAGGATAGCTGTATCAGATGACAAGGGTGGGAATGATTTTTTTGTGAGAAATGAGCAGGTAACTAAGCAGTGTCACTGCAATTCATAATGCATATCCTCAATGCAGAAGCGGCTACAATATGCCGTTCTTCTTCAACACATGGAAGCTATTTTCTAACGGAATATGTGTCGTCACAGGTACTACGAGACGGGCTCCATCAAGCCCCGTGCCATCGGCGGCTCCAAGCCCCGCGTGGCCACCCCTCTCGTGGTCAACAAGGTGGCCGAGTACAAGCGCGAGTGTCCCAGCATCTTCGCGTGGGAGATCCGTGACCGGCTACTGTCCGAGGGAGTGTGCTCCAACGACACCATACCCAGTGTGAGTACCGACTCGTCATACCCATACTCACACTATGCATGCCACCTACATACACCATACCCAATACCCATCGTTAGATCCATCGTACACAATATACACATATCCACAATGCTAGCTAAGCTATCCCGACCCGACGTGATCTAGCTCATACACATCACGCAATTACCATCTCCTAAACAACGATCATACCCACTGCAGTCATTATTTTTGCTCGTGTCTGCATTCGAAAATAACTTCGGCCGTGGCTGCGGCGAGCTCAGTGCACGGTGCATGTGCGACCGAGAGCAAGACAGCGTGCATGTCAGCGCCGTGGGTGGTCGCCGCGCAGACTCCACTCTGCGCCTCTGCAAACAGCCACACTTGCCGCTCCGTGCCGAACATACGCGAGACGTATACGGTGTCCGTCAGACCAGACAGACATACAAACATACATATAGACAGACATACATGGCTACATTGAGCGCTGCGTGTGCGTGTCCGGCTGCAAAACTGCACGACATCTACAATTACATGGCACTGAGCAAAAACTTAGCGGCGTTACATGAACGTTGCGGCACGATATACGGCGGTGACGCATCCAGCAGACTTTTGTCTGGTCTTTTATGCTGCTGGGGAACCTATCAGGAACGCATGGTCCATTGGCGGCCATGATTGGGAGAGAATTTTATGAGCAGGGACACAAAATGGCGCCTGATTAAGGCAGTTTCCTAGAGAAGGTGATACAGTGATTAAAGGATTAGGCGCGTTTTTCATTGGAATGTGCACGAAATTGGCTGACGAACTCGTCACTAGCCTGCACGCGTATTGCGTGATTCATTAAGGCGGGTTTGATTGTAAGCGAGTCGGTCGCAAGCAAAATATATTTGCTGATTACATCTTATATTCAAGACAGCTGTATAGCGAAAATAATGATTAAAGGAAATAGTTCACTTTCCTGAAACTAGTATTTTGCTATGGATTTATGTTTTTTATACTCAAAATGATCAGAAAATAAAACAAAACGTTTTTGTAAAAAGGATTATTTTCTATATTTTAGTATAAGAAGAACTATATTCTATATAAAATAATGTTTGACGCGGAAGCTTATTACGCGTTGACCAATCATATTGCGTAGGACAAACCCATCGGCTGTAAGCAGCATTCTGATTGGCTGACGATGACGTGACTGCATTCCTCAGCAAGGCACGCATTCCTCTGCAAGGCACTCTTTTTGGAACGAAAAATGGAATATCTTCGTCTAGGGTGATCGTTGGGCCGTAAAAGCTTCTGATTTGTGCTAGTCTCAGCGCAAGCAACAAAACTGCTATTCCAGTTCCAAACCCCATGTTAAAAGTGAGCTATTTCCTTTAAGTACAGTCTCAAAAGATCACCAGGAGCTGCAGGCATAGCAATGGACTAACGAGTACTAGCTGTTTTCATGATGACCATATGGTACACATTTAGTGCAGATTAGGTGCAGATTTGGCGCAAATTTGTTCAAATTAGGCTCATTTTATTTCTTAAAATTTATCAGTCTGGGTTGCACAGATGTTTTTATACCTCATTTTCCAAACCATCAGGCATTATTTCCGATTAAAACAATGAAATAATTCATGATATGAACATATTTGCTGTTAAAGAGATTTTGTGCGGCTTTGGTCAAATAAGGTGCATTCGCCAGATAGCTCGTCGTGAAAACGGCTATTTTCAACTAAAACCCTTGTATTAGAAGGAGATTTTACACCTATGCTCTCTTCATACCTATTACCTACAAACATATTGGTTCCAGCTCCTGCGTCGCTTACGCACAATCTCCAGAATATCTAGCAATTAGTAACCTCATTGTGTCTATTAACACAGATTGGGTTGCAATTTCGTGTCGGTACAACACCCAGCTGGCAGCGCTGCAGCCGTTCTCGGAGACAACAGGAAGTTGTTGGATGTGTCCGAGTGGGGCGACGTCCGTCTATCGGGTGATCGGCATCGTGTAACGATCACCTCAGAGGTGTGAGAAACGAGCAACCGCAGCGACCACCAGTCCAGTGTGCAAGGCTTATCCGCAATGTACGGGGCTAGCTTGACTAGTTTTTATATGCTTAAATGACGGAGTTAGGTTATGTAGACTCGGATGCAATGTTGTAAATCGATTGATTTATTCGAAGTTGTGAGCAGTGCCAAGATTTATGCTTTGAAATTAGAAGCACTTTTATAGGCTAATTGCTTTGAATTTCTTTTTTGGAGTATTTGTATTTCTGAATTTTTGTTAACCCATCAATTAAGTGCAAATTTTAACGTAACATTATATTTACAGATTTTGATAGCTTGCATGGATACCTAGCTTATGTACCCAATTAGCCTAGCGTAACTTGAAGCAAGCATGTAACTCTTCGTTCTGCTGTCGTTCCACTAACAGACCATCAATGTTAGAAATCTGGCGAGCATTGATTTTGAATCAACAAGCAGTTTAAAAAGCTCTAATTGTTGCTAAAATTATTTCCAAAGAAGCCCTGATGGATCCGTGTGAGAGTTGTCGATCATCGAACATAGCATAAATACTAACTTGACATTACCTCTCTTGAAGTCAAATCATCTATGTACAGGGTGATTCATAGCCATGTGACCTATTTAGTTGATCTCTCTTGAGAAGAGGATTTCATATTTCCGCGTGAAATTTCACGTGCTAGTAGAAAATTTTATGAAGTTTTGTTGTATCTTGTTCTGGTCTGTGTGTATCGCTCAAGATGTACACAGCGCAGCAAAAAGTAAAAATGTGTAATTTGTATAGGTTAACGCAGTCCGTCAAGCAAACACAAAGATGTTTCTGCACGTCTGAGGGCTTTCACCCAAGGGAAACTCCAAAGAAGATAACAATTCATAGAATCGTTAATCAATTCAAAGCAGAGGGCATGGTTCAATGATAAACACGGCACAAAATAAAAATGGTAAGCGAGCCCCGGAAAGTTGATTTCAAAGAGCGCTGAGGTCAGGTGTGCGCCACACTCGCCGGAGCTCAACGTCGTGGAATTCTTCCTCTGGGGCTATGCAAAGTCCGAGGTCTATGAGGAGAGTCCCCAGGATATTCTGGCGCTGAAGGATGCCATTGGAAGCTGCTTTGGTTCTATTTCCTTAGAAATGTTGTGCGTCCGCGCCATCGCCAACTTTAGGCTCTGGCGCTGGAGTGCATCCGTCGCCGAGGTGGCCATTTTGAACATTTTGTCTAAAAGAAGTGTGAGAGTCGAAGGAAAAGTATTTGTGACTGATGCTATACAAGGATCAAAACTTCAGATTTGGCTGTTTAATATGGTACTTGGCAATGGCATGTAACACGAATGGATTTCCTGTAGTTTTCATTTACTTTCGGTCACACGGCTATGAATCACCCTGTAGTTCTAGTAGAGATCAAGTTCTCGCAATATCAAAGTTCTTACGATGCGGGCTCCAAACACAGTTCTGCGGATCTAAACTCACACAAGAGTCCAAAAACATGATCGGGAGCTCTGCACGGTCGCGAGCATTCTCATTCGGTTTTGCGAAGCATTTTTCTTAGCATGGTTTGGAAGTGGCTGTTTTGAATTATCGTTTACGTCAACCACGGAAGATGCAACCGTCAGCTATATAGGAAACTGGTACAGCGGTACATACTTGGCGAAACACTCATTCCTATACAAAACCGGTTACAAAATATTGCACAATAAAACAGCTGTTACACTTATTACACTTCATTTGCGCCGTATTTGTGGCTCATTTGGCAGCGTGCTGCGTCGAAGGGATCGGTGTTGGACCTCGTCTTTGGTGGCCGGGAGGTCGATCCGGCTCGTTTTGCATTGTTGTGTCAGACCGTCAGCTTGTAACGGAGCAGGATCACGGCGCCGGCAGCGGGCTATACCGCCGCTGCAACGACGCCAACACCTTTTGTTTCCGCCCTTATCGTGTCGGGGATCTGGCCGCAGCTGCCGGTACGAGTGAGCCAGAAGTCGACGGGCCCTGGCACGATCAGTGGCTCGAATTACCGAGACCAGGAGAGCGACGAGAAAAATGGCGAAAAATTGACGTGCTCGCTCACCGCAACTGACATAAGCCATCACTCGAAGCATGAGCCACTCGGAAACTTGTTCAGGAACGCGTGAGAGCGTGAAAGGTGGAGGAGCAAAGTGGCACGCCCGTTCGTGGAGGCACTGGAATCACCCATCGCGCCGCCTCGAGACATGTCCGAGTGAGCTGACCGTTGCGGCGACAAGGACCTCGAGAAGTTGTACACGTGTTGCGACATTTATCACTTTCATTGTGAGCTGCCGTTTCGATTAAACTGCGGTCCAATTACATTTGGCTTTGTGTGTGAGAGAGATGTCATCGTGACTCATAGGCTTTGGGATTAGCCGCGTCAATCACGCGATTTTAAGTAGCCACCGCTAGCAGAGCCGTATTACCGTGAATTAGAGCAGTTCCAGTCAAAGCTCTTCCGTTTCCTTTATTCAAAACGCAAGAGAATGTCTCCCATCTGCTCCGCAATAACCGCTTTGCAGTTAGTGAAACAGCTGCTGCTGAGCTGCCTCATATCTATTGCTTATGCATTAGGCAATGCAGTCTCGGCTTCCCAGAAGAGCACATTTCTGTTGTTATACCACGCTCTGGAGGTTAGGTAAATAGACCTCTTGTCTTGGTGCGCAAGCAAACTGCGACGTAAGATCTCACGTGATCTTGGCAGAGCAAGATCAGCATTTGTCTATAGATTATGGGCTGCTGTTGGACTCATTTGCACTCCAAGACTAGCCTCCAAAAACCAAACGGTAGGCATGGCAGTGCTGAAACAAAGCGGTGCTCGTAGCCTAAATTGCCTGTCTCAGAGGGCCATATTGAGATTGGAGGTGTTCTACCGACACTGGCTTATACAGCACAAATTGATCTCACTCATGACATCACCAACTCCAGTTATTTTGCATGGCTGCCAACTATATGTAACGCAAGGGGCTTGAAAGTAGAAAATTATTTCAAACATTAGAATTTCATGTCGGTATGTCGGT